AACGAGGAGAAGCAAGAATAGAGTTAGACGAATGATGACAATGTGCGAGAGTACAGTGAGTACGACGCGAGGACGCTTGTTAGACGTCGTCGTACGCGCTTCCTTTGTGTCCAGATGATCCTGGCTGTTAATTATTCGAGCGAGAGACACGTCGAGAGTGAGAGATTTCGAGCCACGGGCAGAGGTGCACGGTTTTAATTAAAACTCGTGGACGGTGCCCCATTGCGAACAATGTAACGCGGAGGTGTCAATAAATCCTCGTGCCGTCGCGTTGAAAATTCTTAGCGAATTATCGATATGCGTAGGCCGTAACCGAGGATACAGCCCGGTGATAAAACTCGTGTACCGTTGCGAAGATAGGCGTCGAATATCTCGCGTAGAGCAAATCTCCACGTTTATTGAACCGCGATCGTTTTGTACGTCTGCCGTTCCGTTAGATCGTGCGACTCTGTCACGAAATTTTCTGATCTTTCAGAGGAACACTTAACCTCGAGGGATACGTGCGAATAAAAATAATAAAAATACAAAGAAGGATTTTGTTGGACGCTATTGAGCTTGCAAGAGGATTTTCTTCACTCTTCGAGCGCTGAATACCGGTCAAAACGCTTCGCGTGGGCGGAATACATTTTTCACTTAGCTTACCGCCGAAAGATCGATGGCTGCAAGGCGTGACTAACAATAATTTAATTATGATTTTTTGACTGGACCAAATTGAATAACGCAAGACAGCGTATTATTATTTCTGAGCAGAGATTATTTTATCAGCAAAGTTTGACGGAGATTTCGATTGTGCATACAGTAAACTAACCCTTGAAAATTTTCTCTCGTAATCGTAACGTAATGGGATCGCTTATTTACTCGAATATTTTTCTAGACATAAAACAGTGTATTTTTGAAAACTCGGCCGATTCTTTATTAAGTACATAAAGTACATAAACTCGTACAAAGATTCTCTATATCTTTTACCTTGACGTCTCTGATGAAAATTCTATGCTACATAATAAAATTCTATGCTTCGTCTAGTTCTAATGTTAAATTTCGTAGCGAAGTGAAATCTGGCGACTGTGAAAACCCCCTTCGAAAAATGATACACACTTTCACGATACAATTAAACGACGAACAACGTAACGTAATTGCACGACACGTGATCTATTCCGTCGACAAATCGCGCGCGCGTAAATGCGGCTTGCGTAACAACGGAGCATCGGAGGAAGGGTACCGACCTGGAATGGTAAAAGCAACGCGTGTTCCCCCCTCTTTCCTCGACTTGTTCCATTCTTCCGTTCTTTCAACCCCAGAGAGCGATGTTCCCCACTGCACGGGGCACGCAGGGTACGCAGTTTACGCTCGCACGTTGGCATAAATCAGCTGGAAACGGCGTACAGCCCGTCCAGCAGGCTCTCTTCCTCCGTGTTTGTCTCGCAACTCGGCCAGGCGGCAACATACGCGCATACGGATCGCCTCTCCTCGCGTTTTCCTCGTCGCGAGCAGCACAGCAATTGAGGCGCGGGTTGTGCGTGACCGTGTACGACACGATCGCGGTGAGAATCGTTCGACTCGATCGATCGATCGATCGATCAGGCGCGAGCAACAGTTGCCGTAGCTTGATGCCAACTCCAACGACCACGATCGTAGGCAAACGAAGGGAAATTAAGCGTAGATGCACGACGCTCGATCGGCAAACGCGTATCTAATCCGACGCGTTCGGAATCGTTTCCTATACAACGCACACTGTAAAACATCGGTGCGGTGGAATCCGTGCTGCTGGCGGATAAGCTACTTGGAGGAAAAGAACGACTTAATCGCCATCGGACGGTATCGCGATCGAGAAAGCAAAACCGGCAGAAATGTGGCGTGTTTCTTGCTCGGCCGGTTGCATCCGTCGTCGCCATTGGCGAAGATTCAATTTAGAGAGTAACGCGAGAAACAGTGTATATGTACACACAGAGAGAGAGAGAGAGAGAGAGAGAGAGAGAGAGAGAACGGGTAAACGAATTCTCTCTCACTCTTTCTCTCGTCCTTCTCCTTTTCAGCTCCTCTGCAGGCTATCGGAGCCAAACCAGCCGATTAATCTATGGGCGTGCGGTTAATCGTTTAACCGGCTCTCGATAGAGCAGTTTCTAATTAGCGGAATGGGACGGAGGAGGCGTGATCGGATCGTCGACCAGGGAAATCTGCAGCCGGTCGAGGTCGTCCTCGGCGCAGAAGGGACGACCACGTTCTCGGTGCTCTTGCACAAGCCAGAAAACGTGCCGATAAATGGAGGAAAGGGGACGAAGAAGAGAAAGAGAGAGACAGACAGGTAGATAGATAGATAGGGAACAGGCGAGTGCAAAATGGCTCCTGCTCGGAGAAACGAAACGAAGAAGAAACGCACGCCGAGAAATCGAGATACCGTAAATTGAACCATTAAGACTACCAATGCGACCAAATGGACAATGCGTCGAAAGAGAAGTGTCGTCCAGACAACGGTTGCAACCCTGTTTTCCTACGTGACCGTGCCTCGTGAAAAAACCACCAAGCTCTCGTCGAAAACACTGGCTCGACCAGCAAAATTAACAGTCCACGTGAAGAAGTAGAGAGAAAGAAAGAATGGTTCGCGGATGTGGAGAACAGACAGCACCGGTAGGGTCGGCGCTGCAAATTGAACCATTACAACGAACTAGCAGAGGCGCGTTCGCTCCAGCGAGGATAGTTACGAGCTTGCTGTAAATATCTTTCAGAGTTCAACGTCGTTCTCTCTTCCGCGCGAGAAGTTCTTCGAGAAAATTATAAGTCGGGAAGATCGAAGGATGAATTTTCGACGTTTCGACATGGTCGTTGAGAATGGCGAACATTTCTCGGCGTGGCAACCGAGGAACAAATTCGCAAACAACGGAATAGTTACGATCCTGGATAGTTTCGATGCGTATATGAGAAACAGGTCAAACGAACTCTCTCGATTGGCGACCATTAACACCAGAACTAACAAAGTGGTCCAAACGATCAATTTGTAATTTTTGTTGGCAATTTTATGAAAATTTTATAGAAATAATGTATAGTATAATTTTGTAAAAAGTAATATATTTTTAAAGGTTTAAATGATCTTTCGAAAAATGTGTAAATAAAAGTGCGTGCAATTTATATCGTATCACAAAGCGTTTCGCATTTTTTTCGCTTCAATGTTTCCAATGGAAATTTTATAAAAATTTTATAGAAATAATATATAATATAATTTTCTAAAAAGTAATATATTTTTAAAGGTTTAAATAATCTTTCAAAAAATGTGTAAATAAAAGTGCGTGCAATTTATATCGTATCACAAAGCGTTTCGCATTTTTTTCGCTTCAATGTTTCCAATGGAAATTTTATAAAAATTTTATAGAAATAATATATAATATAATTTTCTAAAAAGTAATATATTTTTAAAGGTTTAAATAATCTTTCGAAAAACGTGTAAATAAAAGTGCGTGCAATTTATATCGTATCACAAAGCGTTTCGCATTTTTTTCGCTTCAATGTTTCCAATGGAAATTTTATAAAAATTTTATAGAAATAATATATAATATAATTTTCTAAAAAGTAATATATTTTTAAAGGTTTAAATAATCTTTCGAAAAATGTGTAAATAAAAGTGCGTGCAATTTATATCGTATCACAAAGCGTTTCCATTTCTTTCAATATTTCCAATGGAAATTTTATGCTTTAAACGCCGCTTTAAAGTGGTTCTTGCGTTAAAAAGCGATCCAAACCGGCCCTTTCGATTTTCGCTGCGAGTGGAAATAAAACGAGAGCCACGACCTCGAGAGCAACAGTCGACGCGTTTAAACGAAAGAAGCGGCGGTCGCCGCGAGCGGCAGCGAAATAATTGCAAACGGTTCGACCGCGGTCTCGTTAAACGAGAAACCATCGGCCGCAGGAAGACCTCGCGTATAAAACTTTTCTCTCTAACGCTCGCGTTGCTGATTTCCAACATTCAGGCGTATTCGTAATCTGACACGCGATCAACGACACGACGTGGTAAAATTTGTACCGACGAGAGGTCGTAAATTTGAGCAACGTTTTCTGGACTCACCGCCGCTCTCTCATATTTTCTTTTCGCTCCGACCGTCGTTAATCGAGTGAAAAACAGCCGAGCCACGGGAAACCACCCTCCCCCTTCCTACGGATTTATTTCACGAGGGTCGTACGTAATAATAATAAATAATAAAAAGAAAAACGCGACGAATTTGAACGTTCTTGGTAAAGCGGCGGAAACTGATCCAGAGGGGGGGAGAGGGCGCTGGTTTAACGGGAAAAGGCGCGCGCGACCAAAGGCAAAGTAGCGTAAAAGAGGAAGGAGGGAGCCGCGGTGGCGGTAGAAGGTGGGGTCGCCATGGTTGTAGTCCGCCTGGGAACGACAGGACCACGCATTGTGATCCAGCCGGCGAGAAGGCCACGCTAGGCTGACCCTAGGCTTTACATTAAACCATCCACCGTGCACGCCGCGCACGTAAATGGCGCACCACCCCTGGACTTAAGTCGTACCTGTTGCACCGGCTAATAATCACCGCCCCGCCGACGCGTTTCTTTATTTCTCTTGACCGTTTGCCCGATCCTGGGACAAGGTTGCGCAACGGGGCCGTAAACAGAGTGGAACGTGGAACGTGGCTTCGTTGAAAAAAAAAAAAAAAAAGAGGTGCCATTTTCGTGCACACGCCGAAAGCAATCCGGGCTTTTGTTCTTCCTCGAAACGCATTCCACGAGATTCTATGCGACGAGCTCGGCTGTCGATCTTTTCAATTTCGTGAGAAAGCCCGCGAAAAAACGGCCACCGAAACTGTTCGTGAGAATGGCTCGAATCGGGCGAAGTTTCTTTGAGGATAGTAAACGCAGACAGATATTAAACGGATCGTGATTTTGTTCACCCAAATGTTGAGGAAATTTATAGACAGATTTGAAAAGGTCGTCGTGACGATGACGATCACTCTGACCGCGAAATATGTAATCGCGAAAGAAGGAGAAACAATTTGAAAACTCACCCTCGGGACAGATGCACTCGTAATCCAAACCGTCGATCTGATGACACGTGCCGCCATTTTTACACGGCGATGGGTCGCAGGGGATGTACTCGTTCTCGCAATTCTGGCCAGTGTATCCGCTCGAACACATGCATCTGCAAATGAAAACGACTCGTTGAAAATCGCCAAAATGTTTTTCTCCTCTTTTTTTTTTTTTTTTTTTCTTTTTCGGGACGAAAATTCGATTCGATAAAATCGGCGACCGATGACGAGGAGTGATAAATTAGCATTGATTACACGCGCTATGAATACGCAATGAGCATTGACAGCTAATTGAAACCTTGTTCGACGATGATATCGAACTGACCTTTGATCCCCTCTTACATATTTAAATTTACTGCGAAAGAATTCTCTCGACTCGATACACGCATACGACGGAGGCGTCTTTTTTATGTCGACTCTCACGTGTGCCGAATATTTATATTACCGTACAATCGATAAACACACTGAGCGACGAATATTTCTTATCTCATTCTCGTCCGAATTCGAGGAACTCGGTAGTAAACATCTTACAGAATTGTCTCTAAACATCTTGCAGAATTATTCAACGTTCATTCGAGTCGAAACTTGTCTCAGAATTGAGAGGGAAGAATACATGGAATATTTATTGCTTTAAAGTTTTCACTTAATCAACTCCGAAATATTTGAAACGACGTCACGAAACGATCGAAACGAAATACGAAATAAAAGCCGCGAGTTGAAGAATATCGTTTTAGCAAACGTACAATGGAAACACGAATCGAATTTCGAATCGATTTCTCACAGACGACTCCATTCATTGACGATCGCCGAGGTAATAGGAGACCAACGAACCACGTTATAATTACTGAAAGAATCAATATTTATAATACCGATTTTCCCGTGGCGTCAACTTTTTTACGCTCGACATAGTACTTTTTATGCGCAAACGAATAATTAACGCGTAAAACTGATGGCAACAAGAAAACTGGAAATTGATGTTTGAAACTATTAGAAATTAAAATTTTTAATGGCGCTCAAAGCGAGTTTGCAAATTACTTTAATTCTCATCAACGACCGAGTCGATTTTGATGAATTTATACTCGAAAGCTTCAAAGCGAGAACTTTGTGCAGTTCGAACTAGTTCGTCGATTCTAAATTCTAGATAGGCGAGGGATCTTGGGATCGTAAGGTTCTAACCTCTTGCGCTGGAATGACGTGCCACGCACGCCAAGAATATTTGGCCGAAAATGGCAATATTTTCTCAGTTTTAAGTATAACGAAACATAACCCAGGCAAAACAAATAATAAATTTATTACTTCTTAGTAATTTCTATCCAGTGATATATCGATGAATTCAAAAAAGAAGACGAATTGTTATATACGGTTTGGTCGCTCGTTATGGTCCGCAATCGGTTGCCAGCGCAAGTGGTTAAAGGGTTGAGAACAACAACGCACCTCGAGCTGGTGGCCAGCGAAAGAACCAAGAACACAGGCGTGAGATACATTTTCGCACGAAATCAATTCCACCGAGCCGCGGAACGACGCTATCCTCATATTTCGTCGAAGACACGCTGGGGGTTTACTCCATTTTCGATGGTTCACCACCTTCCTTCGATATACAGATCACTACAGCGAAATAAACACATCCACCTTGTATCACCTTGTATCACACTGACGCTTGCACGGTTCGTGGCCTAATGCCAAGCTCGCTCCAAAGTTTGCACGAGCCGTTTTCGATTGCACTGGTTTTCTATCACAAAACTGAACAAGAGTCGTTGAGCAAGCTTCCGATCATCCGATCGAAGAAAGGCCTCAGAAAAGTCTCGTCGAAAAATCTTGTAAAAATAAGATACTATCTTTTCCTTTTCTTTTTCGTTAGTCAGTATCATCGCCTGATCACCGACTCCATCTCGTCACGAAGACGCGAAACGCTATTTCCTCTTGCTGCAGCAGGCAAAGCATCTTCGATACGTTCATCTCGAACCCTCCTTTAAAACACCAAACACTTCACTAACAGTGAACGACGAGCGCAGAAAATCGGCCGAGCCGTCGGCGCACAGCGTTTCACACGATTGCACGTAATTGTCCGGAATGTCCTCGAAGATTTCACTCGACGATATCTCTCGATACACGTATGTTTATACGCCTAGTCAGCTACTCTCGCGGAGAGCGGATAGTCAAATAAACTATATGAAGTGTACAACAAAATAAACTATACGTCACGTTCGAAGGGGGAGAGGGAAGAGAAGAAACAAACGTTCGTTTACGGGACAAACGACGACGGAGCGACAGATAGAGATAAAAAGTGAAAAGGGGAAGGAAAGACAGAGAGACACGAGTATGACGGTGGCGCGTGTGCGAGCGTGTGTGTCTCTCAGCCGTTCCTCTCTCGTCCCGCAGAGAGAGAAACGTAGCTGGCTCGGTTTTCTCACGCGTCGTGTGGCGCGGTTTCACTTTAAAAGACGAGAAGAGAGAAAGAGAGATAACGAAACGAATCGAAACAAAACGAAACGAAAATCCGTGGTCCACCCCCGGCTGACGCTTTAAACTCTCTTAAACTCGCTCTAAATTGCCTCTATCCTGTGTTACGTCGGATCGCCGAGATGCTGCCCATGACGATTGACCGGAGGGTTACCGAACGTTGCCAAATCTCCTCTCTTCTCACCATCTCTTCACTTCTGTCAAGCTACACCCGCTTTCCAGCGCATGTTCCACCACACCTGTACATGTTATACACCACTTGTGCCTAACGTCAGACTACCTCCTCGCACAAAACACTAGGCCGATTTTCCAGCAACGCGACGCCTAGCGGCCTTTTCGGAGCCACCCGAAGGCGCGCCACTTTGAATACCTCGCGAAGATGGACGAAACGACGCGTGTCACTGTGCAGTCGCTCGCGAAACGCGGCACGACGTGGCGTCGCGTGGCCACCTGTTCTCGCGCGTATTCGCACTGGCAGTCGTTGCCGAACCGAAGGGGTGAACTCGACAGAGGCACGCGTCGAGCGTGTATCATCCTCAAACGGCTAGCGACAGACTAACCTCACTTTCGAGGCTGGACCGTTCGGGGGGCGCCACCGTCGCCGGCGACCCTCTCCGCTGCCTTTCCACCGAACCCGACCCCTCCCCACCCTGCTGCCATTCCGACTCGTCGTGACTCCCTTTTCCTTCGTCGTCTGCCTCGTGCAACCACCGGCTACCATCTCTTTGTCTCTCTCTCTCTCTCTCTCTCTCTCTTCCATACGCTCGTCAAGTCCCCTCGGCTCGTTCCGTCGGCCTTCGTTCATCTTCGACTGTTCAGCGCGTCGTCCCACTTTCGCGCTCGTGTCTTCTCGCTTTAGCTACATACGTACCTCTGGGGAGACCTAGGTCGCAGAAACCACGCGGAATCGTTGCGCGTGTCTCTGTCCCTCTATCTATCTATCGCTCCTTCTCTCCCGTCGTCGACAGTGTGCAAGAACTTTGCTAATTCGATAGTTACACGATACTTTCCGCAATACGTGTATGTCGACGCGGCAGGAAACCAAATTTGCCACGGCAAATCTTCGGATCTTTGTCACCAGGCGCTAATTGCCTACGGGTACATCGCTGCATCCGCAGAAATTCGTCTCGTTTCGCTGCCGATAATTAGACGCATTGCCCTCGTACTCGTGTAAATTTGCACGACGCCCGAGAAACGAGCAGGATTTAATCCGTTCGTATGAATATTTATTTCTCGCCGGCTGCCGCTCGAGAGAAAACAGACCGGAGGCGCAGAAGCGTGCCGGGGGCGCAGAGATTTCGATTAAATCTCATTGACCAAACCGTTTAGCAGCGTCTCTCTTTAAATTCAAAAATTTAATTCCCACTTGTTTACGCGCATTATGCGAATAGGAATAGCTCGCGGGCATCATGCAAGCTAGGCGATTGGGTTTAGGGCGAGGGGACGATCCGGCCCTTACACGTTTCTACGCAGTAGCAACCCCTCTGTGAGTATCTCTTTGGACCCACATTGCCTCTCCCCTCTCTCTCTCATCCATTGTCTCGCATTTGCAATTTTTCATGTATCGATTTTCGAGAGTCTTCGATCGCCCCTAACATTTTAAACCGTGATTGAACAGTTAGCTTTATGGAAAATGTGCGTGGTTGATACCCCCTTGCGCTGGCAACTGATTCGCGGACCATAACGAGTGACCGAGCCGTATACGATAGTTCCTCTTCTTTTTTGTATATTGGTGGATAGAAATTATTAAGAAGTAATCAACTTGTCATTTGTTCCCCCGGGGTTACATTTAAATATACTTAAAACTGAGAAAATGTTGCAATTTCGGGGCAAAAAATTCTCGGCGCAAGAGGTTAAAATCGAACGTCTGCAGAGAAGTTTTACAAACGCAATTAGAAAACTAGAGGATCGTTCTTGCAAATAATTTTAGATTCGACTAATATTTATTACTTATTTTTTTACTTATTAATAAATGTTTTACGTTTTGAAGTTGAAAATTGCAAAATACGAAATCAAAAATCACAAAATAGTTATAAATTGCAAAGATGATAAAACTAAAGTGTTACTCGTGAACATTGATCTTGCAAATATTTCAAATTCGAATAATATTTCGAGCAGCAGCCACAGTTGATAGTTCTCGATCGAGAGGAAGGAAAATAGTTTTCGTTCGAAATCTGATCACTACTATCTTGAATGGTTGTCCAACGACTTAGGTATCGAAAGGAACACGTAAAGTCTGGTGCTGGTTCCCAAACGATTCCGAGCACACTGCGAAGGGGGTTTAGCCAGGTTGATGGTCGTGCGTCCCCGTAATATGATTCATAACGGGTGCCTCGACAGCCTAACTGCGACAAGAGGAAGTTCCAGCGTGAGCCTGGACGGCCGTACGAAGAAAATATGTCAGAAGTGATTCGGGAACCAGTCGAGGAGGTCAGACGCTCGGACGTCGGGCACACGCGGTGTTTTCGGCGCCGAACACGCGCTTCCCTGTGGCTCTCGACGAGGAAAAAGAACGAAAGAATTCAGAAGGATGATACGAAAGAGGAGAATAAAAAGAAAAAGAAAAGAAAAGAAGAGAAAAGAAGAAGAGAACCGGCGACAATCGAATCGAACCCCGAATTCTCTATTTCTTCTCTCTCGTTTCGACAAGTTC